CACCCAGTCTCCACTCCTTAAATTTTTTATTTTTTTTTAAACCCACTTCTTCATAAAAGCGTATGAATTAAACTGTTAATAGCTCCCGACTGATTCCTCTTCTGCAACTATCACTAGTCTAATACTATCCTTACCTTTTTGTGTCACTTTACCCCACTCCCTCTACCATGTAAGCTCATTGAGCAGGGCCCTTAATCTCTCTGTTCCTGTGTGTCCAACTTGTCTGGTTACAACTACATGTTTGTTCGTCCACCCATTGTAAAGCGCTGCGGAATTTGATGGCGCTATATAAATAACATAATAATTATTGTGTTTTTTTTTTTTTAATATATTATATAAAGACATTAGGCTGTTGGAGTAGGACCTGCCAAAGATGGGGTACATTGACGATGTGGCAGGCTGATGCAATGTATGATCATATAATGTAATTAAACCCCCACTGTTTTTTTTGCCAGCCCCCTGGTTTTATTTATATATACTTACTGTAGTTTACTTTTCCTGGCTATTATTCATGGCAGCATATTCATATGGGTTAGCTCCTCCCCTTACAGTCGATCGGACAGGAGTAAAACAAATACCTTTTAAAAGGAGTATCCCTGCAGAGGTCCCTCAGTCAGTAACAAGCTCCTACAGACGAAGTAAACCAACACTGGGTGGGTAGTATATGCTACCTTGAATAATAGCCGGAAAAGAAAATTACGATAAGTATGAATACATTTTCCTCTTTCCTGGCTAATCATGGCACCATATACATATGGGAATACCCAAGCTTACCAGTTAGGAACAGAAACCTAAATAACTGCCATTCAAATAATCAGCTCAATTCAACATAGATTAGAAGATTGAACTGAGTTAAGGACTTGCGCCTCATTGATTACTCTAACGTTCAGTATGTAATGCTGGACAAACTAGTTCAAAGAGGTCCAAATGCCAACTTTACAAATGTTTCAGCAGAGATCATTGCCATGGAAGCCCACGATGCTGCAACTGCAGGAGTGGAGAGCGCATCGAAACCCTTTGGTATGGGTAGAGAATGGCATTGATAAGCTTTCACCTTAGGCAGGATCTTCGGTGCTGAATGCAAGACAACCATATCCTGTTGAAATTCAGTGAATGGAGGTATACAGGATCAAGCCTGGAGTTCACACACTCACCTTGCTGAGGTACCAGCAACCGCACCTTCTGTGCTAACATCATGGAAGCTCCTGCTTGAGGTTTGAATGATGGTTTAGTCAGAGCCTGTAAGACCAGTGGTAGGTCACATATTGGCTTCAACACCCTCAGTGGAGGCTTGAATTTAATTGCTGCTTACATGAAGCAAAGCACCAGGGGTTCCAATGTTCAGTGGGTACCCATCAATGAGGAGAGTGCCAATCTGTGCTCCTCTAGAGTGTATAACTCAGACCATATCAAAGCCTGATTTGAGGAGTAATTTCAATCTCTATTATTTAGACCAACAGACAAATGCATTCCAAGTTTTGTAATCTGTAAAGTATTTATAGGACTGTAAGAGGATCTTAATGACCATTCCAGGGATGCCTATACTTCTAAAGACACCCGCATCAACACCAGAGCTTAAGGATCTTGGTGTGTCAAGGGACCTTGTAATAATAGGTCTGGACGTACTAGAATTTCCCTTGGAGGTTCCAGATTCATCTTACTCATCATAGGGATTTAGAGTCTTAGTGGCCTTCCACTGTCTCCTTTTGAATTTTCTTTAGGAAAGTTGAAAACAGGAAAAATATGTACATCAGATTGAGATTCCAAATTTGAGTCAGAGTATCCTGACCTTGAGAATTTTGATCCCAAAAACTAGAAAAATGCTTCTGGACCTGGTAGTTCTGAGAAGTGGCCATCAAATCTACATAGGGTATCAGCCAAATTTAAGTCAACCCTGAGGATACGTCGGATCAAAGTTGCCATTCCACCTTGTCCACTGTTACTCTGCCCAGGTAATCAGCCATTGTATTCTGAGCCGCTGGTTGTTCTCCTGTGCCCTGATCATCATGGACTGTAATTCACTCATCAATAGGTGGCTGTGAGACCCACCTTGATGATTGAAATAGGATACATTTACATTGATAGTTGAGCAAATTTGGACACACTTGTTCTTCAGCAACCTTCTGAAATGAAGAAAAGCCCTGAAAATGACTCGTAATTCCATAAAATTGGATGGAAATATTCCTTCCCTTATCCACAGACCTTCTGTAACATGGTCCAGACAATGTGCATCCAATCCTTGAAAAACTGAAATCCGAGCTTATAATTGCCCAATGAAGTTCTGTTCATTGGAAAACCAGAGAGAGAGAGAGATAGATAAATATATTCTCTCTTTTCAGCTACCCGATTAGGTGTAACTCCACAGATGGTGACATGGTCAGTGGCTGACTCAAATTCATCTTTCTCTTGTTGAACTGATATAGGAAGTGTCACGAACTCACCCTACTCCAAGAGTGTGCGTAACGTAGTTGTGGTGGTGAAACGGTTAAAGTTCACTATTTGTCTGCACTAGACCGGAAATAATGACAAAATCCCCCTTTTAACACCACCCAAACTTAAACATAATAATATACAGTTGTAAGAAAAAGAATGTGAACCCTTTTGAATGATATGGATTTCTGCACAAATTGGTCATAAAATGTGATCTGATCATCATCTAAGTCACAACAATAGACAATCACAGTCTGCTTAAACTAATAACACACAAAGAATGAAATGTTGCCATGTTTTTATTGAACACACCATGTAAACATTCACAGTGCAGGTGGGAAAAGTATGTGAACCCCTAGACTAATGACATCTCCAAGAGCTAATTGGAGTGAGATGTCAGCCAACTGGAGTCCAATCAATGAGATGAGATTGGAGGTGTTGGTTACAGCTGCCCTGCCCTATAAAAAAAAACAAAAAAAAAAAAAACACACACACCAGTTCTGAGTTTGCTTTTCACAAGAAGCATTGCCTGATGTGAATGATGCCTCGCACAAAAGAGCTCTCAGAAGACCTACGATTAAGAATTGTTGACTTGCATAAAGCTGGAAAGGGTTATAAAAGTATCTCCAAAAGCCTTGCTGTTCATCAGTCCACGGTAAGACAAATTGTCTATAAATGGAGAAAGTTCAGCACTGCTGCTACTTTCCCTAGGAGTGGCCATCCTGTAAAGATGACTGCAAGAGCACAGCGCAGACTGCTCAGTGAGGTGAAGAAGAATCCTAGAGTGTCAGCTAAAGACTTACAAAAGTCACTGGCAAATGCTAACATCCCTGTTAACGAAACTACAATACGTAAAACACTAAACAAGAATGGATTTAATGGGAGGATACCACAGAGGAAGCCACTGCTGTCCAAACAAAACATTGCTGCACGTTTACAGTTTACACAAGAGCACACAACACACAACACTCAGTGTGGCGGAAAAAAAAAAACAGCACACCAACATCAAAACCTCATCCCAACTGTGAAGTATGGTGGTGGGGGCATCATGGTTTAGGGCTGCTTTACTGCGTCAGGGCTTGGACGGATTGCTATCATCGAAGGAAAAATGAATTCCTAAGTTTATCAAGACATTTTGCAGGAGAACTTAAGGCCATCTGTCTACCAGCTAAAGCTCAACAGAAGATGGGTGTTGCAACAGGACAATGACCCAAAGCATAGAAGTAAATCAACAACAGAATGGCTTAAACAGAAGAAAATACGCCTTCTGAAGTGGCCCAGTCAGAGTCCGGACCTCAACCAGATTGAGATGCTGTGGCATGACCTCAAGAAAGCGATTCACACCAGACATCCCAAGAATATTGCTGAACTGAAACAGTTCTGTAAAGAGGAATGGTCAAGAATTACTCTTGACCGTTGTGCATGTCTGATCTGCAACTACAGGAAACGTTTGGTTGAGGTTATTGAAAAGGACTGCCAAAGGACGTTCAACCAGTTATAAAATCCAAGGGTTCACATACTTTTTCCACCTGCACTGTGAATGTTTACATGGTGTGTTCAATAAAACCATGGCAACATTTCATTCTTTGTGTGTTATTAGTTTAAGCAGACTGTGATTGTCTATTGTTGTGACTTAGATGATGATCAGATCACATTTTATGACCAATTTGTGCAGAAATCCATATCATTCCAAAGGGTTCACATACTTTTTCTTGCAACTGTAACTATTACTATTTTAACGCTGCCACCACCAAGACAATTTATAAATGGGGTGCCTTGGTCCCCCAGGTAAATCAATAATAAAACCCACCAAATATTACTTAATACAATACTTAAGGAATTGCAAAAATACTAACTAGTCTCTTCAGGTAACGTGATTCTTAACCAGACAAAGGCAGAACTTAATAAATGAATGTTTATTATGAGCAAAAAATAGTCACAGTGCATATAACAATATATGAAAAGCAAATTATTTACACCAACAACAGATAACAACAAAAAGGATAAAATACAGAAGTCCTAATTACTCACTTAGGGTTTCAAAGTACAACTTCTGTCCAGGGGGACTCTGGCAAGGAAGGATGATGGTGACTCACTCAAAATTAGATCTTGGCCCCAAGCAAGTACACTAGCACCCTTCAGGATCATTAGAGATATATCATGTGAATTACCACACCTCACCCAGAGGTGGAGTTAAGGCGTACCTATAGAGATACTAAGTGACCACCTCCTTTATTCCAGAAAACAACAAGCCAAATATAAACTTTTGCTTTTATCTCCTCTACTGTACTTGCCACAGAAATAATTGCCTCTATGAATTTATTATTTTCTTTTCCTAATTTCTGCCACATGGTTTAAGTTTAATTATTAAACTGTGGGTAAGTATTAATGTTTATCTTGGATAAGATACTGGAACACAAGGATCTTCATGAAACTAATCCCATTACCATATACAAGGATTGAACTATCCTTTACAAGGTACATGCCAAATGGATGAAGAGACTTTTTCCAAGTGTAAAACCTCACACCTTGCAGAGCCTTGATTACTTCACATCCATATAGTAAAATCCTTTTCACATTCCTATTCCATTTATACCACCCCTTCTGTCATTTGACCTCTGTGGGGGTCCCAGCTTCAAAAGATGTAACCCCTGTTGACCTCAGTAATAGCATCTCTGTAATTTGTGCCATTTACTACACAAATTACATTAAAGGATAATATACCATACTTGCCGTGACAGGAAGGACCTTTGAGCAATCTTGAGATGCCATTGAGCCCATCTGACAAGTCTGATGTTGGAAGCCAGGATTCCTAGTAGTTGCTGTTACCAAGCGAAAATGAAGAAACTGGAAGAGAAAAGTTTTCCTGAGATAGGGGAAAAGCAGAGTATAGAATACTCCACCCAGAAATGTCCTCTGAGCTGGTGTGAAACTGCTTTTTTTTTTTTCTTTTTTTTTTTTTTAATATTCATCAAGCAGCCAAACGCCAGGCGTTCTCTGTGTGCCTGCCTTATGTGGGTCTGAGGCTACCAGAAGTGGGTCATTCAGATAATGGAAACAGGTGGTGTTCTGGACTCTCAGTATCACTACAAGCACACATAAGGGTGGGTCTTGGGGCTGCAGTGAGGCCAAATGAAAGTTCTCTTCTGAGATAATGCTGAATATCTAGGGCTATTGGAATCATAGTAAGCATCCTTGAGATATATAAAGATAAGGAAATTGTCCTTTCAAATTCCTGGGGATATGGATCTGATTGACTCCATCCTGAAGGCTCGGACATTCAGTTTACTGTTGGCCCTTCTTAGGTCCAGTATAGGCTTCCATGTGCCTTTACTTTTAGCACCAGAACAGAGGTGGTCATTGTCCCAGGAACCGGTCTTGTTAAGGGACCCAAGAAATCACATCTCTGTCCAGAAGGTTTCATACATATTCCTTCAGTGCTATACCTTTTGATTAATCTGTCTGAATTATATTGTTGGTATAGACCCCTGTGTCAGAAGGAAAGACTCCAATCTGTATCAATCTGGATGATGGATACCACCCAAGTCTCCAGAATGGGACCGATCCAAGGAATATTTGATCAGAAAAAATAAGGCTCCTAGTGGACAGACACCACTTCATTGCTGAAGAGCAAAATGACTGCTGCATAGCTCTATTAGAACCGTAAAAGGCAGGTTTACCAACTCCATGAGTTACCTCTAGAGTATACCCTGCAGGGACAGTAATTCCATGTATCTCAGAAATGCTGGTCACTGGAGGTTCTCCTGTCTGACCCTGAGGAGCTGGGATTCTTGGATCTTCAGTCTTGAGGTGCAAATACCTTGCAGCCCTCAGCTGCATAATCAATAGATTTATCCAAAGCTTTCCCAAACAGCAGCTCCCCTTCAAATAGAATGGCGTAGAGGGCAGACTTGGAGGATGAGTCATCATCCCAGAAGCAGAACCATAATACTTTCCTAGCTGCTAAAGCAATTTGTTTGAGAGAATATCCTAGTTACATCTAGGGAAGCTTCTTTGAAGAAGTCACTTGTAACCTAAAGACTGCAGACTGCATCTTCAATCTTGGCTCTTAATATCTCTCTCCACAGTAGCATTTAGATCTTTAATCTGCCCTCTACGCCATTCTGTTTGAAGGGGAGCTGCTGTTTGGGAAAGCTTTGGATAAACTTCTTGCCTTTCTTCTATCTCTGATAGCATGTCCTCCCGCTTTCTGAAACTGAATCTTTCCAAAACAGAACTTCTTGTCTTTCCTCCTCCTAATATTAATCCTCCTCTCTCGCTCTCCCTTCAGATTGATGGTACTCATATCAGCCCATCCTTCCAAGCATGTTGTCTTGGTGTTACTTTAGATTCTGGCCTCCCTTCCGGTCTGTTGTCAAATCATGCCAATTCCACCTTAAAAACATTGCCCGCATCCGCCTCTTTCGTACACAAGATACTACTAAAGAGCTTGTCAATGCTCTAGTAATCTCTCGCATAGACTGTTACTCTCTCCTAATTGGTCTTCCCAATAGCCATATTTCCCCACTACAGTCTGTAATGAATGCTGCCGCCAGACTGATTTTCCTCTCTAATCGGTCCTCTCACACCTCAACCCTAAGTCAGTCCTTACATTGGCTTCCTGTATACGATAGGAGTCAATTCAAAGTGCTAACCCATACCTATAAAGCACTGAATAATCTTGGCCCCTCTTATATTTCCTCACAGATCCATAGGTATGCTCCTTCTTGGTCTCTCCGCTTTGCCCGTGATCTTCTGTCCACTACTTGCACCCGTACGGCCAACTTGCGCTTGCAGGACTTCTCACGGGCGGCTCCCTTCCTATGAAATAGCCTGCCTACCGCCATCAGACTCTCCCCTAGTCTTCTTCAATCGTTTAGGAAGTACCTCAAAACCCATTTCTTTAGGAAAAGCCTATGGCCTCCCAGACTAACCTCTACCTCACATACCTGTCTCTTGCTCTCTCCTAAAGGGCAGCACTCTACTCTCTCCTTCACCTCTGCTTCACTCCCACCTAATTTGATTGCTATTTCCTGTCCTAATGTGTTTTATACGCCTCCTCCTACAGACTGTAAGCTTGTCTGAGCAGGGCCCTCTTCAACCTATCGTTTCTCTAAGTTTTCTTGTAATTGTCCTATTTATAGCTAAATTCCCCCTTTTAATAATAATGCAAAGCACTACAGAATCTGTTGGCGTTATATAAATGGCGATAATAATAATCACACTTTTCACTGTTCTGGAAACAGCAGTGAAAACTACAGCTGGATGACAACCTGCATCTGCAGGCGTATAAATTTGGACAGGTCTGCGTCCACTTTTCATTTATAGGCTTGCTTAAAAAAGCTGAGTTGTCAAGGGGTAGCATCGTCCCACAGGATACCCTGGAAATCGGTGCAACCACCTCAGGTGGTATAGGCCAGGGGGTGGAAGTACCTTCCTCCATAGGGTAAAGTTTGGACTCTTCTTTTACCTCCAAGGCCTTTGAAACACCTCGGAACTTCCATGTAAGTCATTACGCCTGTCATGTGGCTGCGCCTTATGGAGACAGTCAGTGCATAACGGTGTTCCTTCCACTGCTTTTCCATCAGAACCAAAATATGGTGTAGATTCAGAAAATACCATGCAACTTCCTTTGTAAGCTATGCCAACATGTCCTGTGGCTTCACAGGTATAGGTGAAGCTGAAGAGGTTACCTTCTGAAGACAGGCAATGCATAACCGTTTTCCTACCACTGCCTTTCCATCACAATCAGAATATGGTGTAGATTCAGACAATATAAACAAACAAAAAATTACATGTGGCGAAGTATTAAAGTGAAAAAGGGGAACTGTAATTCATTAACCAAGACAAGTCAACAGATTTAGAACTGGCTGAAAACAGCACTTTCCTATGTCTGGAGAACCTGAAAATACTTTCCAAATAAGTTTGGGATGTTTACAGTAATTTCCCCTTCATTTTAGGTACTTTCTGGCAATTGCCCGTATCCAAGATGGCTGCCGCAATATATATTCCCATAATGCAAGTCATTGGTGTTGGGCCCTTAAGACACAAACTGAACATGCGCAGGTGTCTTCCAAGTGCATTTGCTGTCTAGAGACCGGGGAAAGAGCTCGGTCTGTAGCATGCATGGCCCCTGAACACCCAGGGAACTGGGACTAAATCTCTGTGACCGAAGGGAAGCATAAGAAATAAAGTAAAAGTGCCTGCAAGGTGATAACAAGGTGCAAAAAAATCACCAAAGTTAAAGGCCACAGTATAAAAGGCATCATAGCATAAGGCAGTAAAGGAACAGTTGCATAATGAACCACAGTTTAAAGACATCACAGTGTAAAAGTACCACAGTATAAAGGCACCATAATATAAAGGCATCCTAAAATAGAAAAAGCAAATAAAGTAATGAAGAGAAAAAAACATGTGTCCATAAAGTAAAGGGAGCAAAATGCTCACATCCTAAGGGCTGTAGGACAGGAAAAAGACTGAGGGACCTATGCAGGGATAATCCTTTTAAAGGCATTTGTTTTATTCCTGTCCTATTGGCTGTAAGGGCAGGAGCTAACCCATATGCATATGGTGCCGTGAATAATAGACAGGAAATAAAAATGTGTGTGTGTGTATGTAGATAGAAAAAAACTGGCACTCACGCTGTAATGCTCCTCTAGAATGTAAGCTCATTGAGCAGGGCCCGCCGCCTCTCTGTTCCTGTACGTACAATTGTCTGGTTACAATTACATGTCTCTTAGTCCACCCATTGTACAGCGCTACGGAATCTGGTGGCGCTATATAAAATAATAATAATAAACCCATCCATATACAATATATAGGAAAAAACATAATTGGTGAACTCACTCCAGCTGGAGCTAAGAACCGCTGGCATCCCACCAAGTGCATTGCACATGTGCAAGACGTGCTCTGCCCACCTAGCGTGCCATAATCACCTGGTGACATCAGACGCGTTGCCATGGTATAGCGGGAACCAGCCCTGTTGCCATGGCAACGGGTATACGTTGCAAGTGTCAGTGCTTACTGTAAAAATTGCCTGCAAGTGCTGCTGGCTGCTTGGACCTTACAGGGGTGATCTGGATAGAGTGAAAGGAGCTGGATGATTCCAGCTCAATAAGGCAGTGGCATTGCTATACGAATAAAGTTAATAGACTGTAAAAGTAACATTGCTAATAATGCAGTGCTGAATAAAACAATTTAAAGTGACATTGCTGATATTGCTTTAATATAAAGTGCAGAAAGTGACAAATGTGCAAAAAACTGTTAAAAGTGCAAATGCAAAAATGTGGAAAAATGCTCATATGGAGGGTGAATATAAATAGTAGCAATATAGATCTCGACAAAATTAGCTTTGAAACACTATAACTACTGTTAAAACAAATCACTGAAAAACTTTTTCACATGTATAAAAAGCTGGGGTGGATTCATAGAAAAACGTGGAGCAATAGGTTTTTGTTCAATCCTTTTGGGAGACATCGTATTAATTTCATGGATCCAGAAAGCTTCTATATTCAGCAACATTTTGCACCTGTCGCATCCCCTCCTGGACTGGGGTATGTAGTCAGTGTCACAAATTTTAATGTGGATAAGGGGTCGTGTTGTGCCAGAAAATGTTTGGCCACAGGTTTATCTGAAGACCCATCCCTACATGCCAATCTGATAATAGAGCGGTGGCCACGAATCCTTTCACACAGAGGGGTTTCTCTTGCCCACATCATTTTATATATATATATATATATATATATATATATATATATATGTGTGTGTGTGTAATTTTTTATCTATTTTTTTTAAATGTAATATTCCGAATGACTGCTGTGGTGATTCCTTTTTTTTTTTTTTTTTTTTTTAAATCTGTAACTTACCCAAAGAAATAAAGATCAAAATTGTAGCAGACTTAACTTAGTGCTTATATTAGAGGAATGTATGATTTTAAACAATGTTGCTATTGTGTTTCAAATATATCTCATTACACTATTCGCTATTCCAGCCCAACAAGGTTGCTTAGAAGGGTGGTCACATTCCCTGCCAAAGGCAGTTAAAAACATTATTTAGTCTTTATTTAAAGAAGTCACAAATTGGTTCACACATAAATCGTTATCGAAAGGGGGGTGGGGGGGTACTATATCGGATAAATTCACATTTACAGCAGTCAGAGCTTTTTAGTGGGACAGAGATATCATGGGTGCATTTCCTGCTGTAGGACATACTTTTCTAAAATGGATTACCCATGTGCCAGAGGTGCATCTACCCTTTAATAAAGCTCAGCTTAGACTAGGGGAAATAAACAGTACTAGGTGTTTTGATTAATAAATGTGAAATTCATGGTACCTACAAAATTAAAATTAGATGTTCATGTGAGATGTCTTTTAGAACTGTAATACAAGAGCCATCGATGTTGCAGAAGTCTAACAGCCTTTTTTCATGTTCCAGGTCTGTACTGCATTGGAAAAGAGTCGCTTTTGGTTGAATTGGCAAAGACCTTTAAATCGTGGGTGGTTGTAAGCCCTCAACGATTGGAATTGCTCAAAATCCTAGAATTAGAAGATGTTTTTACTGTTGATGGAGAAGCAGGCAGAATCCATGTTGTTGACCAGTCAGAAGTAACTTATGTTAATATGGTTCAATGGAATCGCGTTTGTCCCACTATTGCAATTCTCCCCACCAGTCGAAAAGTCAAAGTTTGGCACAGGGCAGTGCATGTTGTTCCATACTCTGATCATTCTACCTTTGAAGAACTTACAGAATTTGTATCAAGGCTAAAACCTTATTCAATTATTCCTGTAGTAAAAACCCAGCAATGTGAGCCTCATTTCAAACAATATTTGCGTTTTAGAAAAGAACCCCACAAAGTGAATATTCCAGAATCTGTGAAAACCTTCATGAAAAATCAACTTTCAAAGGGAAAGGAAGAAGCTTTACATCTGTTTAAAGCTCCCTTTCCCAAACGTGCTGCAAGAGGAGTTGAGTTTGAGTCGCCTGAAAAAAGGCCACACTGTAATGTTGGCTCTTGTAGCATTGAAAATAATCAGGAAAGCATGGCACATTTATCAGACACTGAGGCTGACTTGGAAGAAAGACAAGAAATTGGAGTAACTTTCATGAGTACAAGGAATGCTCAGATGCCTTTGTGTGAATCTACTGTGATAGAACATAATAAAGACCGAACTTCACTCGAAATCTCAACTTCTTACATTGGTGATAGCTCAGAAGATAACATACTTGAAATGGCATCCACAATATTTTGGTCCCCTAAACATAGGAATGGTACTTTAATATCGGAGACATCACCAGAGGTTATATCTGTAATAGGTTCCAAAAGTAGTACTCCAAATTCAACATTGTCAATCACGTATTTGGACTTACAAGAAGCCAGTCACCTGCCGATATTGCCATTAAAAAAACAGACTAATTTTGGACCTCAGAACTTTCACAATCAAGTTGAGAAATACTTTAAGAAATTTGATACAAATGATGAGCTCTGTTAGTTTTTGAAAAAGATAGAAATATTATTCTTTTTGTTTTGGTTTAGTTTATTGTTATGTTATTAATTTATTAGTAGGACAAATATATTTATTTTGTGATGGCATGTTTTTGTAATGTTCGTTTTTTTTTTGTTTTTTTTTAAATGTAGGAGTTATACAGTTAATGTAATTAAGTTTTTATTTGTGGTGGGGACAATAACCAAAACACACTTTTGAAATAGTTAAGAAGCAAGTTGGTTGAGGGGTGCTGAAACCAATAAACTGTTAAGCCTGTAAAATAGAGGGCCCAGCTTAGAGAAATAGATTAAAGGTGAGACGTGGGTGTGCAACTACGAAAAGCACCTGCGAGTGGTGTGGGGTCCAGGTTAAATAGCCGGATGACACCTGTCATAACTCTAGGCTAATGCCTTAAAATTTGCGGTACAATAGCCAAAACATATATTTATAAAATAACAGAGAAGCAAGTTGGTTGTGATATGCCAAAACCTACAAACGGTTAAGCCTGTTAAAAAAAAAAAAAAAGCGAGCAAAAAAATATACACTCTGTTCCAAATTATTATGCAAATTATATTTTTCTCATTTACCTAAATAATTGATGTAAATAAGTCAGCATAATTCTCATGTTATCAACTATTAAGAGTACAATTCAAATTTTATTGAACAAACCTAATAACAGTATTTTTTTTTTTTTAAACATAAACTTACAATGCACTGTTCCAAAATAATTACGCACAGTAAGTTTGTAAAGTAGGTTGAAAAGAACTGAAAATTGTCATTTGTTGTGTTTGCAGCATATTTACTGAACTCAAAAGCTATTTCAATCAAACTTTTATAACAACATTTTAACTTTTTAAACATTTTAACAGGTCACGTTACATTTTAACATAGGACCCCTCTTTTGATAGCAGCTTTACAAGTCTTGCAGCCGTTGAACTTGTGAGTTTTTGGACAGTTTCTGCTTGAATTTGTTTGCAAGATTTTAGAATAGCCTCCCAGAGCTGCTGTTTGGATGTAAACTGCCTCCCACCCTCATAGATCTTTTGCTTGAGAATGCTCCAAAGGTTCTCAATAGGATTGAGGTCAGGGGAGGATGGAGGCCACACCATGACTTTCTCTGCTTTTATCCCCATTTCAGCCATTGATGCAGAGGTATTCTTTGCAGCATGAGATGGTGCATTGTCATGCATGAAGATGATTTTATTACGGAAAGCATAGTTCTTCCTTCTGTACCAGGGAAGAAAGTGGTCAGTCAGAAACTCCACATACTTTGCAGGTCATCTTTACACCTTCGGGGACCCTAAAGGGGCCGACCAGCTCTCTTACCATGATTCCAGCCCAAAACATGACTCCACAACTGCCTTGCTGACGTGGCTGTCAACCAACCATCTACTACTCCATCCATCTGGACCATCTAGGGTTGCACGGCACTCATCAGTGAACAGGACTGTTTGAAAATTAGTCTTCATGTATTTTTCTGCCCGATGCAGCTGTTTCTGCTTGTGAGCATTGGTTAGTTGTGGCCGAATAGAAGGTTTATGCACAGTTGTAAGACTCTGGAGGACTCTACACCTTGATGTCCGTGGGACTCCAGAGGCACCAGCAGCTTCAAATATCTGTTTGCTGCTATGTAATGGTATTTTAGCAGCTGCCCTCTTGATCCGATGCATGGATCTGGCAGAAATCTTCCTCAATGTGCCTTTATCTGCACGAATCCATCTGTGCTCTGAATCGGCCACAAATCTCGATGATCATGCTTACGTTTTTGTGAAATATCTGTTTTCATACCTCGTCCAAGGCATTGAACTATTTCACTCTTTTCAGCAGTGAGAGATCCTTTTTCTTCCCCATATTGCATGAAAATGGTGCTCTGCTTAATAATGTGGAACACCCTCCTTTAGTAGTTTTTCCTTAAATTGGGCTCACCTGGCAATCTAATTATCACAGGTGTCCGTGATCAAAAGAGCCCTGAGACACAATGCCATCCATGAGTTAAACTGAAAAACAAAATATTTAATCTTTGTGACACTTAAATAGAATAGGCATAATAATTTGGAACAGGGGGTAGATGCACAAAGTTTATTGAAATATAATCTAGTATATTACAAAGCAGTAGCGTTAAAGGCACATCTAATGCCAATTTCCTGTTGCAGAATATTGCTGCAGTATATTGATGATGTCCAACGACCCATTATTTTGATGATGTGTGGGAATGTTGTGACTAAATACAGCAGCAGCTGCTCCTATGCAAAATGAGTGCCCTGATAAGGAAGATTAAACCCTAACCTAACTAAAAGAATCCTGATGTGGATAATACATGTAGATATGGTAAGAGGGGCACTGTGCAATCATGGTAACTAGTAATCAGGGGATATATCTACATGATTCTAAATGAGAACATCTAGAATTTTTACTGGACACCAATTAGAGCTAGAACGATAAAATGGAATTTCCGCCAGGAATCTGATAAATTGGCAATTGCCTAGGCCTGAGAAAACTGTAAAAGGCTAAGTAAGCTGCTGATTTAATGACCGCATTAGTATGTCTTTCAAATGAAGCAGCATCCAGTAAGTCCAAGTTTGCTCAGAACATAAAACCATCCATAGGCAAACGTTTTGGAGCTTAAGTAATGGTAAGCTTCTGAACTGAGGACAGGAAAGGCTTAGAGTTTGGGAATGAAGTGAGCATGTCATGGTGGATGTCTGTGAGGTATAATTTAATTGTATTGTGTGATAGTTTGAGAGTGATTTGGCAAAAAAAACTGTGAAAGCAACCCTTGTCTCCATGGCAAACATGTACTATCAGAAATTAACTTCTTAAATAACAAGCCCTATCGTAAAAAAGTTTTGTTATGTGAGAGGCTGCCTTGTGCCAGACATTTTCTGAAACAGTAGTAACGTTAGTCCATGATCAGATTCCAGAATACCAGAGGTTCTGTGGCTTATTACTTTACGATTGGATGTGACTTTAAATAGTTATGTTATTTGAAATGTGTCTAGACACAGTAGTATTATGTACACCTCGTACATGGATACACACAAGGAAAACCTGAGGGATTGCTGCTAGCCAAGTCAACCTCCTGACTAGCATAAGAATAGTAATTGACTGGGAACAACCTTTGTTAATTATCTGGCCAGCTGACCGATTACCAGAAAAGGGTCTAATACAGAAATCATTCCACAAATGGCCAAAGATTTGAGCAACTACCACCAAGGGGAAAATTTAAAATAGCGCAAAATTGCTTTGAATTTTTTTCCCCTGCTTATTCTAGAGGTAAATGACCAATTACCTAATACCGAGTCCGTATATTGCCACGCAACCTGAAGGCCCTGAGGCATCTATTAGGGATCGACTTTTTTCGACTAGGTTTTGCCGATATTCTGGGTTTTTGTAAATATCGTTATCGGCCTATAATCTTACTGATAATGAGGTGGTCCAGCGCCCAACCAATCTCCGCTCTCTCCAGGTCTCGCGATTCACGAGGCCCTGGCCGTCAGAGCATTACCGCGGCAACACTTCATGGAGCAAAACCAGGCGCGCGAATTGCAAGACTTTTAGAGAGCTTGTTGAGAATGCCCATTAAGGTGCTCCCTGTCACTGGATTGTGCCCAGCATTCATGAGAGGTGTGGGATTATTCCCTTTCACCTTCTGCCTGTCTGCAGTCTCTGTGTCTGTGAGAGAGTGCTCACTGGAGGATCAAAAAGGCACAGCAGGTAAAGCCATGACAGGGAGCTGTGAAAGGTAGTAATGACACAAGCTAGAAATTGTTAGGCATGCTAACAACGTAATATGCCTTTAGGGTACAGGATTTTACCATACAGTAGATGATAAAAGCTCACAAGATATAAAAAGATTATGACTCACTTTAAAAGCTTTCAAGCTATTTGAGCCAAAAACAAAAAGCCCTCACAAAACAAACTAGACCAACAGACACAGATAGTATTCATTGTATATTTTTTTTTTCAAAATGATAAATGTACAGAGTATTGGTAAGTTATCGGCCTGAAAGTTCACAGATTATCGGTATCGGCTCTAAATACTGCAAAAATATTGAAGGGTTTAGGACTATTTTTAACCCTGATTGTGAACCAGGTTGTGAAAAAATACTGACCCTTCCATTTCCATGAAGTAGCTTAAAGGGACACTATAGTCACCTGAACAACTTTAGCTTAATGAAGCAGTTTTGGTGTATAGGACATGCCCCTGCAGCCTCACTGCTCAATCCTCTGCCATTTAGTAGTTAAATCACTTTGTTAATGAACCCTAGTCACACCTCCCTGCATGTGACTTGCACAGCCTTCCATAAACACTTCCTGTAAAGAGAGCCCTATTTAGGCTTTCTTTATTGCAAGTTCTGTTTAATTAAGATTTTCTTGTCCCCTGCTATGTTAATAGCTTGCTAGACCCTGCAAGAGCCTCCTGTATGTGATTAAAGTTCAGTTTAGAGATTGAGATACAATTATTTAAGGTAAATTACATCTGTTTGAAAGTGAAACCAGTTTTTTTTTTCATGCAGGCTCTGTCAATCATAGCCAGGGGAGGTGTGGCTAGGGCTGCATAAACAGAAACAAAGTGATTTCACTCCTAAATGACAGTGAATTGAGCAGTGAAATTGCAGGGGAATGATCTATACACTAAAACTGCTTTATTTAGCTAAAGTAATTTAGGTGACTATAGTGTTCCTTTAAAAGCATTAGAAATGCTGATTTCTTTCCCCCTAACCGTGTGCCTTGGCATAGCTTTAATTGCATCCTCTACACTTGTGTATTGTAGTGACCCTCTTCCTCCCTGCTCAGCTACCCCTCCCTTCACAGACCCTCTCCCTCCCTGCTCAGCCCCCCTCCTTTCACATTCCCCCCCCTGCAGAGATTCCCTCCTCCTTCCCTGCACAGATACCCCCTCAAAAGATTCCCCCTTCATCCTTGCACAGATCCCCCCTTCCCTCCCTGCACCCTCACAGTCTCTCTCCCCTTCAAAGACCCCTTCCCCTGAACAGTCCCGTTCCCTCCCTCCCCTGCACAGTCCCCCTTCCCTCCCACCCCAGCAAAGTCCTCCTTCCCTCCCCCTCTCTCACTGCACAGTCCCCCGTTCCTCCCTGCACAGATTACCTCCTTCTCTCCCTGCACCCTCACAGTCCCCCTGCCCCCTGGGACTTTACATTCAATAATGATCTTAACAGATCATAAAAACTTGTCTTATATTGATGAGGGTAAAGGTGCTGGACAAGCATGTCTCCAGACCTAAACCCTATTGAGCATCTGTGGGGCCTCCTCAAACAGAAGGTGGGGGAGCGCAATGTCTCTAACATCCACCAGCTTCGTGATGTCGTCATGGAGGAGTGGAAGAGGACTCCAGTGGCAGCCTGTGAAGCTCTGGTGAACTCCATGCCCATGATGGTTAATGCAGTGCTGGAAAATAATGGTGGCCACACAAAATATTGACACATTTCCACTTAGTGGTGTACTCACTTTTGTTGCCAGCGGTTTAGACATTTATGGCTGTGTGTTGTTATTTTGAGGAAACAGCAAATTTACACTGTTATACAGGCTGTATCCTTACTACTTTACATTGTAGCAGAGTGTAATTT